GTGTGTGAGAGTGGGAAAGGGGGTAGAGGTGGTTGTTATAGTGTAATAATAGGATGTCCTTGGTACCCACGGTGTACTATTCGTGTCTGGGATTTCCCCAGTAAAAATATGAGCTGTATGGGCTGTGTTTTGCTTCTGAAAACCCCCTTGCCTGTAAAGTTTAATAGCTATTTTATTTTCTTCTTCTGAGCCAAGGTATTTGTTCCAGTAACAAATGATCAGAAGGAAAGAAGCTAAGAAAGAAAATGGATCAATTATTGATACATTAATGAGAGTACCACTTGTGTGCGAGGGTTTGCACATTGGTCTAATTCCAGGTGCCCATTGCGGATGGGATCGGATCGGGTCGGGTCGGGTCGTGTCGATCGCCTGACTCGTCGCCTGAGTTTTGTTTTTGAGGCGACGAGTCGGGCGCGATCGGTTTGTGCCACGATAGCCGCTTTGCGCCCTCAATCTGGATAGCAAACCGACCCGACCCGACCTGACCCGATCCCCCAAGCGTTCCCCATTTCACCGCTCATTTAACACTACATGTCTGATCGGCAGAAAACCGAAAGTTATGTTGTAGCACTTTTCGAACTATCACATGCAAGTCAGAAACACTTATTGTTCCCATATTTTCATAGTGAGCAATTTGTGTGCTTCTCTCTAGCTATACACACTCAAAATTGCGTTCTTTTTGCTTCCATAAAAGAGAATGAACAAAGCAAAAAAAAATTGTGTGAATAATGAAGCCATACTTCCCTGTTCTTAAAAGCGTTGAAGCTGCGCGTTTTCAAGCGTTATCGAGTGAACAGATTGCGAATTCCCATTGAGTTTATCCATTGAATTGGTCAGCGGGGGTTGGAAGGAATATAACAGCATTGCTATAAGAATCACTACTTGTAAGATCATACATCATCATCATCATCATCATCATTATCATCATTGCCTTTCTGATCCTGCATCAGGATAATGGCCACGAACAAACACTTTCCACCTTTGGGTAAATAAAATCATCCAATGATACGGTTATTTCGCAAAAAGAAAACAAACAACAACAACCCAAAAAGACATTGTAGGCCTTTGCTGAGAATGTTTTGAATGTTTTGATATTTTATACAACCTTAGACACAATTTGTATCATTTACGAAGCAGACTGCTTCGACATCGTGTATCTAAGGAACAACCAAGTCAAGGCGGTATGGAATGTAATTGTGTATCTCCGCTCTGTTTCTGCTATAAAACATATTCCTGTTCTTATTTCCTATACTGCGTAGAGAAAATTGCTGCCTCGGTGGTTGGCGGGTGCTCTGGTGTGGTTTGCTTCTTCTTTCCTATCATACATCTGTCGTTCTTATCTCCCCTCCTTTTTTAACATGTTTGTAACTCTCTTGTAACACCTCTAATCTTCTGGCGCTCAAATGACCTTATGCAGTTGCGAGCACCGTAAAACCTCTGCTAAAACAAACAAAAAGACTGTTGCAAATGGACAAAAAGCGATGTGAAAAGGGGAGGGGGGGATGGTTGGTGGAGCAATTGGTTTGTCACAGGTCGCTGAAATTGTCCGCTATAATATTGTTGTTATCAATCAGGGGTGATGAGAAGCGATGCATCGTGGGTAGTTTCTTTGTTCCTTCGCGGCGCGTGAACCCTTGGGTGTCCTGGCTCCCATCGGAAAACTCCGTGTGGGTCACATGACCTGATCAACTGACTAGTCGCCCCAGTTAGCCCTGTTAACGAC